AACCATTTCATTACGCATACACCGAGTAGCATTTAATATTCAAACAATTCCATGATTAATGTGAATATTTTTTCAATAGAAGACAAAGTCTATGTTAAACACAGATGTTGAAAAGCTTAAAGAAAATCTTATTAAATTATCTAAATGTCATTTCACAATACAAAATGATATCCGATTAGTCGGTACAAATCATATTATCTTGTTTTGTTGAATTCTTGTTATTTTACGCGATTAATGGCTACCGTATTTATTTCTATAACTTTTATATATCAGGGGGAATTTGCTTCGAACATTGAGTATCCATCTGTTGCTTATCATCAACCTATCGTAAATGCTTGTAACTGACTGCAATACCACCTGTCACTATTTTTTCACTGGAACCTCTTTTTCTCAAGAAAGTTACTTCAAACTTCAAACATGTGTTTCTTATTAAAATATATTCCTTATCAAATATATAAAATTGTTGATCACTTTTGCATCATTATTCCATTGAAACCCAAAGGCCCATTATGCCTGAAAAATGCAATACATAAAAAAGCTCTGTTTGCATAAAATCTGTTTTGGTACAAAATACTACCTTGTTTACATTTTGCTACCATAACAACACAGCACTGTATGTTCAGCGCTACTCTTTTCAATTGTAGAATATCTTACGTAATCTAAATCCACTATCAAAACATTATTAGACACATGTTTGTCATTTCTAAGGAATAAAAAGAATGCGGTCTTTTTTTAACAATATTGGATACGCGTCACAATTCAATTTTTTTATCATCGTCATAATATGTGATCATTTTTTATATTAAAAATACTTTTTCTTCAGTGATTTACTTCAATTAAAAATAGTACTGTATATGTTTTCTTAACTTTTAGTTATTTGATAGTCTTGCTTCTTTAACATTTAAGATATTTACCTAAAACATCATGTACCATCTTCCTAAATGTGTGTGATAAGGTTTCTTACCATTTTTCATAGCATCACCATTTCTAAAATTATTTTGACTTTTAACAATGATACGATGTTTTCATACACCCGAAAAACCGACTTTAATTGTTATGCACCTAGTCCTCCGCTTGTTCGTCAGTCTGTTAAAAGTTCCGTGTCCGGTCTGTATCTTTTAAACCGATGAGAAGAAATTGTAACTACTTGGTAGAAATGTTCACCATAATGAGATAATGTGTAGCGTGAAGATTTTGGCTTCATCTGGTCCAATTGCACATTTAGGCATAATGCATTTATTTTAATACTAATCATCATAAAACAAAGATGGTGTGCAGACGGGATCTTTTTGCTTCCTTGGATTTAGTTGAAGGTCACATCGACGTATTAGATATCCTTGTATAACTTTATGTATCAAAAAAAGATTACAGTGTAGGAGTTAGTTAATATGTTTTAACGGTAACATTTTTGAGATGTTCCCGGACGGACGACACAGATGTAGGTATTATAATGATTAGACAATACGCGTCGACGACCGAGGGCGGTCTCTAGGGGTCAAAACGGTTGGTACCATTTTTGAAAGGCGTCTGCGGTATCTTGGTGTACACACATTTGTATGATATCAGGATGGCGCCTACGCGAGTTGGTCATGAACAGAAACAAAAGAAACAGTCAGTACAACATATTGCCCATATCTTAAGTAAATCATAAAATGTATTAATCATATAGATTTGTACGGTACATTCTGAAAGACAGAAAATCTATCCATGGTTATGTTGTTAACATTTTTGGCGAGTAAATAACCAAATGCGATTTGTTGAATTTTGACGTTGCTATAGATATCAAATGAAAGTCCAAAACCCGATACGCATCATTAAGGAAATACAATTTAATGTATTTAAATACGTTTTAGAAAAAGAAACATTAAAACTCATCATTTTGAATTCAACGTACTTAGGATGCTAACTAAAAAAGTGAACGTTAAACAAGGAAAGTATATTTCAATAAAAAAACAATACTCGGTCGAATACAAACAGGTTAGCTTGCATATGTTAACTCTTATCTTTCAATGCAAAGTCATATAGAAATGTAAGCATATCTTGCATAACAATTACATAATAATTTCTTGTAGAATTATTAATCATGACCAATGGAACGCTTTAAATGTATGTTTTTCTGAGCAAAACTTTCGTGTTTCGGTAAGTGAACTCAGTTTGTAATACTAACATTTTCAGAGACGGTAAGGCTATTCTGTATTATAATTTTTTTATTAATGTGCAAAAATATATAAAAAATGATAAACATTATATCAATAGAACACATCAATAATCATAAAGTGTATTAAACACTTATTGAACATCATTAACTAAGGGTACATAATATGTTTTTATATTAGTCTCGTTATTTGGACACAATTTAAAACTCGGATCTTGTGTAAAATACACTCAGTAAAGTCTTACTAAAAAAAATTGAAAAGGATATCTATCTTGTATATTTTTGTTTTAATTATCAATTACATTTTTTATAATGACAAGAACTACCATTTACATTTTAGTTTAGAACTATCTTAGAATGACAAAAAGTATCTCTTTTTATTTTAGAATTTCCAGTGAGAATTGCAAAATTTATTTTATAATTTTAAAAAGACCAATGAAAACTCTTCTTATATCCAATTCTTTCTTGTAAATTTTACAGGAAGTCAAACTGAAAACAGACCGGTCTTTGGCTGGAGTTTAAAAATAAGTTCAGGTTCCAAGTTATTTGTCTCTTTCCTTAATTTTATAAAATTGATGATTAGAAAATAAGATGATCTTAGCACTCAATATTAATGATTGCGTATTGAACACAAAAACTAATTAATCATTTTCAAGTAAGCATAAATTGGTCGAGGTGACTTTGACCACTGGGTCAATTAGATAAAAACACTTAAGTAGTCTGCTTTATCTATAATAGATAACGAGAAACGTATTTATAATGTATTGTATTTCATTTTCTTCATCGCTGTGATAAATAAGCTAATCAATAAAATAAGAGTAAAAAGACAGTTATGATGGGAAAAGATTTTATACTATGAGATAAATTATCATCACACATTGACTTTGAAGACGGAATTGTGACATTTCTATTTAAATTCAGAATATTTAAATCAGCTGCATAATGTATTATAATAAAGTTAAGGAAGCCAACGATAAATTTTAGATGATATACCTTCAAGAACATTTAGTAATTTACATTATGGCCACCGAAATATTTAACATAGGAAAAGGTAAAAATAACTTTTCACGTTGCCGTCATTGTTTCCGATTTTATATTTTGCTCCCACCTCCCCCACCCCAAAAAGGAACTTTCATGACCAACGGAACAGTGGGCTCTCATTTTTAAACTCTATTGGCCAGTGTCTGTCGTCCGTCGTTAACATTTGTACTTAAACGACATCTCTTCCTAAAACCCTACACCAATAGTGATGAAACCATACAAGAATAACCCTCCTTAACTTTTGGGTCGATTTTTATGAAGTTATAAAAATGGTCATTGGATTGTCCTCTTTAAAAATATTCAAATTTCAAATTTCGGCCTGCTGATCAAGATTGTCCCAAGAACTAAAAATTAAAACTTTTAATCAAACGTTACTTCATAATTGTTCAAGTAACACTTTCAATTTTATAAGCTATCACGAGTTTGTCTCTTACTGTAAATTAAGAAAGGACTTAATTGGTTTGTGCAAACAAACAAAACATAACTTTAATTAAATATTTCATTAGATTTTTTTTTATTAAAGACATTAACACACATCATACCTGAGGTAATCGTAATCGTGTAATCGTAATCGAATGTATTTGATTACTTTTTAAAACTCGATTACATTTGATCGTAATTGTAGTTATTACATGTCAATCAGTGGTGTAACCGTCGATTACATTTCAATTACAAATCGATTACTTTAGCATAGAAACAAACTTCACTCATGAAACTGTTGAATTTTGTACGTGCGCTTATATGATATTTCATATGAAAAATACTGCAATAAATACTACGTGAAATATGTTAAACAAGTTTAAGGTGAAATTTATTAAATTGAGAAGTTTTACTTTTGTTAAATTTATTTAAAACTGAGTTATTTAATTTTACTGTTTAACTTTACACAATCCTTCAGACTAAGATATTACGTATTTATATCTCATATTTACCCCCTTTGTTACCAGTAACATACAAGTTTTATATTATGCATGAGGTTTCAAAAAGTATTTGTGAAATCAATAACTGAAAATAATACCTAGTTTGCTGTCCCCTTATTAATGGTAATCGGTATAATCACTCAGTCGAAGAGTAAAACCAGTTCATGATTTACAGTAACATAGAACATAGTGTGGTTATTTCAATAATATTGGCACTGAAATCAAGTGGTATGGCTTCTAAGTTTCTTGATATACCACCAGAGGATGCTAAGGGAATAACAAAAGCAAAATGCAAACTGAACTGGTTCATTAGCCCCAGCGACTGTTAAGCATAGCTGGCAAAACGTAATTGAAAATACTATATTTTCAGAGTAATTGTAATTAAATCAGTAACAGTTTAGAAATCGTAAACTAAATTTTATTGAGGTAGTCGTAATTTAATCGATTACATTTAAAAGTAATCGACCCCAAGTCCGGCACACAGACAGCAATGCCCCTATCAAACAAGGTGTAATTGTGTTCGCTCTTGACCTTCTTATTCAAATGTAAGTAGAAATAACAAATAATATATTTACCTTAACCTTTTATTTGTATAATTATGCATGTATCTACATATAAAGAACTGCAAGCAAGCAAAAACCAAAAAAATAAAAAAAATAAAAAAAATAATGCAAGATAGAAATATAATTAATGGTTATTTTCTTAATAAATATATCGTTTACACTAAAGGTTCATACATTAATTCCTGTTTAAGGCACAGTCACATGATATTTCAAACAAAAGACTAATTGCATGTTCTTTGTGCTTGTTTTTATGATTTCTACATACATCACGATATTTTTAGTTTTCCACGTGTATACAAATATCAATAATGAAATTATTTCCAAAACATAACTTTAAAAAGAGCGAGTTCAAGTCACTAGTAGGTTTACTTATCGAGTACATTATGGTCTAAAATTATTTTAATGCGAAACAAAAGCCTATAACACAACATTATGCATTCAAAAGCATTGTCTATAATTTATGATTTTTCTATCTAGTAAAACGAATGAAGCAAAATTCCCATGAACATTGCACTTCGCCACTCATCTTCTTCCATCACTGTTGGAAAAGTACACTTCACGTACACTTTCTGTCCTTTATCAACCACACGAAGGGCGTTTACTGAGGAACAGCTGCTTCCAGAATGTTGGAATTGAACGCTTGATGCTATGAGAGCATCGTCATGGACGATAGCATAAGCAACATTATCACCACCAGAATTGCATACGTGTACCGAAAACTGGTAAAGACCGTTTTCTGGTGCATTGAACTCGCCTGTGGATGAGTCATAGACATTTCCTTCATTTAAGACAGCGTTTTTGAAAACAATTGTATCCCCGGTACTGTATTTACTACGGTCTGGAGCTTCTGAACTAAAGGCAACAGTGGAATTGACCCCTGAAAAGAACATGGTGAAAAATAAATATACTAGAGTTTACTCTGATCCCTGAACAAAAGAAGTATTTTTATTTTTATTAAAGAGATAAAATGTTGTATGAATTATAATCGAGCAAAGGTTATTGGCTATAGAAAACATGTTAAAGAATATTTTGTATGAGACGCGTTTTGAAAGAAGATATAATATTATATTGTTCCTTTGATACGTTCTATTATTTGTGTCAGTCTGTTTAAATACTTAATGATGTAAATACAAAAGTATATTGTAGCTTACACAATTTATCGAAGCTTTGGCCATGTGTTTATGACAACATTTTAGCAAATATAATTTTTAAATCAAATGTCAAATGTAACCTTTTTTAAAGTTAAACTTACTTTGTCTCATGGCTGCTTTCATTCCAGCAATTTGATCAGCAAGTATATCTTTTATCAGTCTATCCCGCATTTCAATCTCATTCTCAATGATGGCAACTTTCACTTCTAATTTAGATATTCTTTCGAGCCAGCTACCCTCTAATTGAGAGTCCACGGGTTCTTCGGACATGACATAATTGAATCCTGTAAGAAGAAAACAAAACAATAAGGTATTCATATTTCCTATCCGGTTATCAAGAGAGGAATGGTAAAAGACAAAATAAAACAGGCTATTTATATAATCGTATATAATTTGGATTTACATCCACAGCTGTAACTGCGCATTTGTGTAACATATGTTTTAGTTTAGAGTATCTACATACGTACCGCATTTTCTTTAAGATATGTTTTATTTTGTTTATGTGGCATTAACTACAAACTTTCATTTACATATGTCAAAACGCCATCGTTCCTCGGGAAAGGTTTTCCGAATAGCTCAGGAATTTAATGACTCAACATTATATATTAAATTTCTAAAGAACTGAACAGTTCATTTGGTGAAATTAATTATTAATATATGATTGCGCTGATTTACTTGCGATGGCAACATTTTTCTATTCCAATGTTGGCTACCTAATTAACGTTGATACGTGTGTTTGTTTGCTTTTGGAAATATAACTCCATCATTAAAATTCTTGAAAGTGAGTCACTTGAAAATAAGGAACCAAGTAAAACTAGCTCAAATTTACCAGACTCGGTGTAATTATGTTCATGAGTTAATAAAGAGAAGCCATCATCTCTTACACCCCTTCCCCCAGCATCGATGAAAATGTAGAATACTATTTCAGACTTCTTTTTTCGTATTATAAAATGAAGAAGTTACGTTTTAATTATTCAATTGATATTTTATGTTTTGTCTTTTTCGTTTTTGTTCTTTCCGTAAATAAATATAATATGTACACCTGGTGAGAAAGGGACAACTAGAAGCTTACGTTGTATTGATGTGTTGTTATATATTTGTCTCGTCCAAATTAAAAACATTTGAATATTGATAATGCATTAATACTTTGGAGAGGTTGAGACGGGAGGATGTGTTCAAGAGAGACGTTGTTTTACATTAATTCAGGTATGCTTACGAGAAATAACACGTTCTCATATTTTTCTTAATGGCCATTCCTTATTGGTCGTGGGATTATAGTTATTGTGAATAAAAAAACTTTACTTCTGCCATGACCAGAAGGAAGCGATAGCAAAGTATTTACTTCATTTAAGGAAGTTCATTGCTAACTTTTATAGGGACTTATATCTTTGATTAATGTTATTAAAACACATGAACTGAAAAAATAGCAACACATTATCACGTTGGTTTAATTATTAATTTAGAAATACATACAATAATATCCTAGTCTAATAATGTTAACAAAATATTTGTAACAGAAATTTTAAAATATAATCTTTGTCCTCACGGAGAATGATTTCAACATGAATGTAGTATATTTTTAAGCAGAATAATTAATTTTGCATGGTTTAATCTCGAAGATATTACATTCTTTGATAATAACTGTTAAGTTAAAGCATTATATCTTGAGTTTACTAAGAGAAAACATTGATAATATGGCATTATATCTGGAGTTTACTAAGAGAAAACCTTTATAATATATTACATAAATTTACTCTCATATTAAAGAAATTTAAAGTGGTGACCGGAGACAATCAAAATAATAAAGAAATTTTAAAAAACAACAATAATACATGAATAAAAGGTAGTACACGAATATTTTTACTATATTTCAACATGCCATCTACACAAAATTTTGACATAAGATTAACATAGAAACAATAATAAATATTTATTTAATTCATTAATTTATTACCACTTTTTAAAGATGCATCACTGCATCATCAGAACAATTAATTATCAAATTCCAATGGATATATGTTCAATAAAATGCCACCTATCAAAATAAGTTGTAGTCAAATAGTAATCAAAAAGTACAAAAAAGTTAAAGGTCTTGTCACAAGAAAAACACATTCCTTAGAAATTGCTTAGTTTGCATCAGTGATAAATATTTTGAAAGTATGAAACAACTTTGTATCATTTCCTTTTTTACTGTCATAATAACATAATAATGTTAACATATTAGAAAATAATGGTCGTTTGAAATAGGTCATTTAACAAGACTAGAAACCTGCAAAATTGAAAAATAGCCAGAATGCACTTTCCCTTATGCATGAAACGGAAAATAGCTACCATAAAAATATTCCTTAATACACGAAATAGATACTTTTATATATTTTACTTATATACAATACATTCGAAGTACAGATACCAAGATATACACTTTGAATATAATTATATAATTAATACCACCTAATTAGTGATACTGGTTATCATTTTAACCCAAAGAATTGATTGATTCGGATATGTAGTTCTTTATACTTCTAATTATAAGATATATGTGCCTCCAAATAATTGATTAAAACACTTGATCATTAGTATTGCATGTAAAAAAGGATTCTGCCTGACAAACAGTGTCTAAAAATTACGTGTCGCTTGGCAGCACATATTGCACGATTTTTTCCTCAGCGGGAAAGTAATTCCAGATTATTTACACTGTGCTAAATAGGTTTGTCCAGACCAAGAAATTGCTCTGTGAATGTGACATGAACTGCGTGGTCATAAATTTGGTGCAAATAGCCATTATTGAACAAAAAGCAATACTATAGAAAAACGGATTGTCGCTTCTTGGTTATTTATCAAAATGGCCAGTTCATGACAATCATCTGTAACTGTGATATTCAGATTAAGATTTTTAATCTTGAATCAACATTTACTTATACGTTGATATATTTGTTCTCAAATTATAAAGATAGTACTAGAAGTGAGTTTTTGAACGATTTTGAGCAAATCGTTGCACGTTCCGTTCATTTTGCTCTTTAAAACTGATTATTCTGGGACAACACAGTTAGGAAATGATCTAAAATTTTGCATACAAAATTTTAGTACGATAAATGTTCAGGAAAATACGTAGACCTTTGTTTTAACTTTCCCGTTTTTTAAGATATGTTTAAAAAAATAATAACATTGTTAGATTTTCTAGTTTTTCCACGTCAAGTATATATGTATTCATAGAATAACAAAATAACAAAAAATACATGTAAATGAAAATTAAAACATGCACATATCATAAGCCGGCTCACGATAGACCTACAATAAATGACACACACGTTTCGAAAAATATTTTCATTTTCATTGTACTTATTGCCAAGGAGTCTTTGTGGAGTCTCCTTAACTCATAATTACAAGTATATGACATTTGAAAAACAGATTATGTAACACAAATTTAAACTTGCATACTTAAAGTTTGTAACCTCATAATTCAGACAATAAGTGTCCTTAATGTTATACCGTATAAGTACTTATTTCTGCGGTCTTAAAATTCTGCGATTTTCGTTAAAATTGGGGGTCTTAAATATCTGCGTTTCTTATTTCTGCGGTACCATCATTCTCCCATTCAAGTGTTTTATTTCTGCGTTTAAATCATGATATTTGTACACAATTAACCAATAAAAATAAACAGCATTTCAAGATTTGTTGATGTGTCATTACTTCCAGTAAAATGCAGACGACTGATAATGTGTTTCGTTGTAATCATCATGTATCGGTATATATACACTATATACCGGTATTACGTAAATATTAAGAAAAAAGAACAACAAAATACAATGACAACAAATTTAATACTGTATGTGTATAAATTTGAAGCATTCATGTATTTTACTATCTTATAGGTTCATTATAGTCCTTATTTTCATTATATATATATTCATTATATTCCTCTCACAACAAATAAATTATGCATGTATATACATTGAAAAGAATCTATGGAAAAACTTGCAAATGTTCGTGTCTTTCAACATGAATACCTGAACTTATAGCTTGGTAAACAACGTGTTGTTTTACCAGTGATGATTATTTGCGGCGGAAGAAATTCGCCTGTAAGAAAAAAAAATCAACACAATTTGAATAAAAGAATTTCGATCATTTCGCTTAAGTGGACATTTACAGGTAAGTGTGAAAAATACACACTGGCAAATTCGCACATAACATAGTTGTACATAAAAGCGTGTTTATTGCAGGTTTTAATGATAATATCAAACAATGGTCATTTTATCACGTTTTTGATAACAGTGTTATTAAACATATTTTAAACTGAAAACAGTGGTATTAACAACGATATACACTGCACATGAACACATTTTTACTAACACAATTCTAATATTTATTTGCAATGATAAAAAATATATGTTTTATCAAGCATTTAATTATATAAAATATTCGGCAGAGAAAATTTAGATTTACCTTGCAGTGTACCAGCAAATACGGTAGTGAATTGTCGTTTGACTCTAAATCATACCAACATGATATTTATTTTAACAAAAATAACAAGCAAATTAACCATTTTTTTATAATCTTTTATTCATGACAGAAAGAAAAATCTACTTATACCATTAAAAGCCGATTACGATACATGATAATGGTTAGGTAATGTAGTTAGACATTACCGGTAGCTGAAATTTCAACACATGTATACATAAACAAAGCCGAGAAAGGCTTAATTTTCTGCGGTTTTTAAATCTGCGGTGTCGTAACAAACCGCAGAAATAGCAGAAATAAAGTTCCCGCAGAAAAAAGTACTTATACGGTATCGATATAATAACACGTTCTAAAATATAGCTTTAATTTTATGTAGCAGATTAATTTCCTGCAGCTCGTTTTACAGTTTGGTATATGTATCTAATTTAACCGCTAACCGCTAAATAAATTGCTGTAAAATATATGTTACATAACTTTAATCCAGCGGATAAAGCATACATTATGACATGGAATAAACAAATAACAGGATATCGCCGAGACAATATGTATTGAACGATTCTAAACAAGCATGATTTCTTTAAATTAACAAACAGGGAATAAAATTGTTGTGTGGTAAATTTCATAATTTATAAACTTTCACCTAGAACACTTAAGTTGAAATGAGTTTGTCCGCTTTTCAGAAAATATCTTTTTTATTACTTTATACTATGTTAAGTAGAGGAAATTCATTGTTTTTATTACAATCTTAATTTAAAATGCACGTAGTTACATGTGTAGCACAGACTTTAAATAAAAAACATGTAAATATTTTTATTTCGGTTTTTCCTAAACTTAGCAAAGTTCGCAAATCATGAAAAAATATACCCA